TATATATATATATATATATACACACACACACACACACACACACACACGTGTGTGTGTGTGTGTGTGTGTGTATATATGTATAATATGTATATTTTTGTGTATATATATATATATATATATATATATAATTCTATACAAATAAACCTCTTAGTTGCCATCATTATGTCTTTTCTCAGAGTGTACTGTACACAGTGTATGTATCCAATACTACACTACTCAACATATGCTTAGTGAGCTCTTGGATTTGGTTAAAATCTAAATGTATCTAAATGTATCTAAAAATGTATAAAACACTGTTCTAAATGTATAAAATAATCAAATCCAGAAACTCACTGAGCAATTAATGAGTGATATTAATACTGAATGCATCTGTGTTAAAAAAAAATGGTTATGTTCAGCAAATGCAATAATTGAGTAATTGGGTTTTGAAATATAGATAAGATTAGTAGGTCTAAGAATATGCACCAATCATATATAATTTTATTCAATGATTGTATAGCCATTATAAGTATTATACAAACTTTTATTACTAAAATCCTTAAAAACAAAATTATAATCAAGCTAGGACTTTAAAAAAAGTAGCTATTAAAAAACAAATAAAATATAAAGATATTTTATAGTATATATATTATCTTGTTATTTTAAATAAACTTGAGCTTGCACTCCAAGATCAGCTGAGATAGCATATTGATTGCTATATATTCTGAGGGACACATGAGTTTCTCTAAGGACTGTGTTACTTCCTAGACATTTTTATGATTATCACGACAATCAATAATAAAAACTTTACAATTTTTTAAATTATATTTAGGAAGTAAATATAGTGTATTGAATTTATTATTAAATTTACATTGCATACAATAATGTCACTTTTTTGTTGTAATGTAGCAACAAACTCACTAAAAGTTATACTCAGATATTATATTTAACATGACATATTATTTAAAGCAAATTTTGATCATCTTTTCCGTATTTTTTTCGTATTTCTATTTCGTCATTCTGTGTTATAAATACGAGTACAATCTAATCAGTCATAATAAACTCAACATTGTTGAATTTCGTGATTTAATATACTTAAAGTTGGTATAAAGTTTATGTATATCAGTCTATCAGGGTCACTTGTAGAGATGGTGGTTTTATTTACCTAATTAAAAATAATTTTACTAGATATTTAGAAAAATATTGAATTAAAAATAATAAAATAACAATAATGTAATACCAAGAATTTGGACCTGGTGAAATATAATTCACTATGGTCAAAGTGATAGAGTAGAATGAAAAGATTTAAAACTATTATATGATATATGACTGCCTTTATCCTTCTTTTTCTTCTTACTTTTTTTCATTTACAGGAAAAGGACTTGGAAAAAATGAGAATGGCATTACAAAGCCTATAAAAGCCACGTTAAAATCTGGTGTCGAAGGTCTCGGGTATAAAGAAACTTTCGACGCGTGGTGGGAAAAAAAATTCAATAGTGTCATTCAAAACATCCAGGTCAAGTCAAGTCAGGATGGAGCTACTTTATCTACAGTCGTTGATGATTCTTCTAAGATGAAAGAGAATAAATCCAAAATGCATCCATATGCCAATTTCCAGCAAATCTGTGCCCTTCATAATGGTCATTTAATACAAAATAACTCTACGACGTCGGAAGAAGAGGTAGGAACTCCACAAGCTTCTGTAGATGTTTCATTAAACTTCAATCAGTTTCACACAAAAAATGATGAAGTAACGCCAAATATGGCAACAAAGCCACCTTGTACACCAAGTGCAAAACTAGAGAGAATTGCGTTACAAGATCAGTCACTAATATCTGCAATGTCAGACTCGTCATGTAACATGCCATGTAACTCGTCATGTAGGAGCCTGTTGAACCGCTATACCTGCCGACGTACTTATCGCTCTATTTTTTCATCACATTCTTTGCAAAAATACTCTTTGCCTCTTAAATATACTTCTGAAACAAAACCTAATATTCAACCTAATCATGCAATACTGAACAAAGTGAATCAAACACCTGAGGAGAAAGAGAAAAAAGATGAATACGAAACAAATAACAATATAATGTATACTCTACGAACTTTAACTACTACATCCAAATCCAGCAACAAAAAATTTAGAAAGAAGATAAACAATCTGATGCAGCAATTAAACAGTTGTAGTATAAAGGAAACTGAATCCAAGTGTGACCTTGTGAAAGATAAATTTTTGCGAAATGTGAAAGGTAACAGAAAAAAGTGTTTAAAGAAAAAAAAGGATGTTGCATATGCACAATTGATAAAGGAAGAGCTAGAATCATACACAGAGAAAGAAGATACAAGTAAACAGACGACAAGTCAAAATGAAAAGGAATATAGACCAGTAATACAGCTTGAGATGAATGATGATACACCTTCAAAACAAGAAAGCTATAAACCACCACATGAACCACTCGTGAAAGGATCTACCTGTGTAATCACTTTGACGAGGTTTGGAGCATCACGGGATGGAGATACAGATATGGCTTCAACTAAAAACAGTAAAAATTCTTTATATTTCCACAAATCTAAAAAGAGACGTAAAAATAAGCATAAACATAACCAGCGCTCGAAAATAGAAGACGTAATTAAAAATATTGTAAATAAACGTGATATAGACTTTGTATCAAAAGCTCTAACAAAAATTAATCTTACGGAAGATGTAAGTGCTATAATTAAAAAAAAACCTACTCAAACTCATATCACACCCGTTTAAAAAAAGAAATTTAAAGCAGGAAATGCTAAAAATGGGAAATGATCATAGAAATTATAATAAGAATAATAATAACACGTTTATATATATATATATATATATA